ATGTTAAAATAGTGTCTGTCCTTGGTTAAACACAATCACGTATATATTTATTACCAGTAAAGTAAAAAGTAAAATTAAATCAATTATTTATATTTATAAAATACACACTAATACATCAGTTTCAAAAAAAATATTCAAACCTCGGTCGCTCATGGCAACGAGAATACGAAAAGTGAACTTTCAATTTGGTTTATTATTGCCTGAATATAGCGAACACCACCGCCGTCGCGGATTCACCCGTTATGAACGGAGGAGGAAAATAGCGCGATGCCATCATAGAACATCAGAGAAGGTTCAATGGAGACCGTACAGGCGGTGGGAACGCGCAGTCGGAAAGCAGAGTATCTCTTCACTCATAAAGAAACAGCAGGAGAGAGATGATGAAGCCGTAGGATGCAAAGTCGACATAGTTGGACCCTCGTCAACGAAGCGCCAAGGTTCCGATTTCCTGAATCTCTGCGGGTGGAAGCTATTCTACTCAGGTGTCGGTATCACAACACGGGCTAAGGCCTGTGTTGGTGTTCTGGTAGAACCTAAACCTTGGAAGGTCAACATGATTTCTTGAATGAATAAGTGGAGTAATCTCTGACGAAGTGCTGACAATGGAGTCCATCATTCTAATGGACGATTTCTATGCGCATGCCACAGCAGAAAGTAAAGAAAGACAGACGTGATTCGAAAGAAACAACGGCCCTAGCGACCTCTACAATGATGGGATAAAGTTGTCGCGGTTTTATGCTAACAACGGATTGTCTACTATGATTGGCTGGCTGGCTTACACGTATCTGCCAAATTCAACGGGAAAGACACCAGCGGACTGAAGAACGGGGGTGGTTGCACCCCCGTTCAACAACGGAGACCACAGGGAGTGTTCCAATTATCGGGGCATTATCTTATTGAGCCTCCAAGATAAAGTCTACGGAAAGGCGCTAAAAACGAGGTATCGCAGAATAACTTACTCTAAGACACAAGAAGAGCAGTGTGGCTTTCGGCAGCCAAGCACATTTGATCAGATATTCGCCCTACGCCAGGGTATTAAGAAATCGTTGGAATTTGCCTAACCGGAGTCCATGTGATTTGCGAACTGAAACTAATCTACAGCGCTCTCGGAAGGGTTCGAATCCGAGTGCGACACGGCGGGCATGCGAGTGGACGTACCTAAAACGAAAAGCCTAATGCTCGCTGCTGTCTTTGGACAAACGGAGAAACAGTAGAGCAGGTGGAGAAGCTGAAGTACTTCAGGTGTATGTTTAATGGTGATGGAGAATGGCAAAAAGAGATCGATCGGTGGACTGGAATAGCCTATGGCGTTCTGCGTGAAGTTTCCCGCGCCATTGTGACTAAAGCAGAGCTCAGTCTGAAAACTAGCCTCTCGGTGTTCGATCTTTACTTCCATGCTCATCTGCGGTCAAGAGTCGTGGGTCATGACTGTAAAGCTTGGATCCCGAGTACTAGCAGTTTAATGGGCTTTCGGAGACGAGTTGTCGGCCTCACTCGTCTCGACAGGATTCAGAGGAAGGAATCGGAGAGTTGGTGTATAGCCACTGCTTCTCCAGATGGAGAATTCAGTGCTGCGATGATCTGGGCACCTGTTGCAAATGCCTTAAGAAAGGATAGCGAAAAAACTATTATTTTTCCTTCCGCCCGGAAGAAGACCCTGGGGACGGTCCAAATTAACTTGGGGAAAGTGTATCGAAAGACACTACTCCGGAGTCAGATTATCTTCTGCCGAAGTTCTAATGATGGAACAGTATCAGGAACGTTGGAGGCATTGTCTGATGCGTCTGTCTCCGCGACCCGACTGGACCCGTCATTAAAAAATGATTAACTGACTGACTGATACAAATCAGCAGTCAAACAATACGAAATACGAATTAAAATAATCTTATATAAGTTCAAGTAATATACCGACTAAGAAGAAAAAACCTAGCAAGGGGAATGCAAGGGATGGAAGCTCTGCAGCAGAAACAGAGACAGGAGTAGTATTTCATTAGTCGATCGCAGCTCCGGTGACTGTTTTACATAGCATATGCTGACAGGATACATTTCGCGGAAAATGCTTACAGCATAAATAAGACGAAATATGTTTTTAAGCAAATATGTATTTAGCTGGATTGTTAGGAGCACTACAAACAAAATAAAAGACCACCCATCAAACACATAATAAAGGTCGAACTCCTGAAGCTAGTTTCAGATTCGATGATTGCCTATCCTTTCGGATCACGGAGGTTGTTGAACTGAAGCCATTACCTCCTGAAGTCAGCACCAATTAGTGGCATATCTGCAGGTGTCCAAACAGGGCTTTGTTCGACCTTGCCTAGTGAAGCGGCTCTACGTCCGTGTGCTCAAATACTATGGAGCCACGACCTGTTTAAATGGTCTTCTAGACGACTAGAAGCAAGAGGATTGTGCAATTGCTCCGCTCCAACCCGGTATCAAAAGAGAGAATGTTATTTTTCTTAGCAGCGGTATCGATAACTAGCAGTCTGCTAGTAAATCCATAAGATCAGGTTAATTTCTATGTATCATTACCTTTTATACCCTAAAGTTCTACCTCAAACCTTTCACAAACATTTTCAATCTTAACGCACTCTGATAAGATCAAACATTCCTCTAACCATGGAGCTGCGGTCATCGAAATAGGGGGAGGGGTTGAGTAAATCATCACCGACCTCAAAGATAGTTGTTTTATCACCGTTATCTGAGATTAAAAGATTCTAAACAGCAGTGCAACTTAAATTATCATCTACGACTGTTGGAAATGATACATCACATTGACATTATACAAAGCTCATTGTTTTGGCAAAGGGAATATTCCTCAAGGATAGACCGCAAGCAGCTCTGTCTCAAAGAGTTGTATTACATGTGCTGTATCGTCCACCCACGCGTCTGCGGCGAGGGTACGGTTCCAAGGCGAAAGTTTTTCATATATTTCCATTCTCGTTATGGGTCGCTATCAAATCAAGCCAGGAGCAAGATTCAGAGTCCATTTGATAGTTTTCTTAGATCAATGGTCGTCAGCACTTGCTTGTTCGAGACCCGCTGGTACCATCGCATTTTGAGGATGCTGCACAGAGAACACTGTTAGTTTAAGAACCATGAAATGCAAGGTCGTTGCGGATTTTAATGCGCAGTCACTGTAAGTCAGGCACTCTCGATTTCACATAAACTATATCAGTATAGTAAATAGTGAATAAAAAATATACTTGGAAACAGCAGTTGCATCTCTAATGTGAGAGTACAGTTCAAAAGCCGCGAAATGACATGAAGTAGCAATTCACTATACAGAGTTTCCAAAGTTGCTGCTCATAACCGATCCTTTGTCAGGAAGGAGCATTAAACATAGAAAACACTGCTTCGTGAGAATGGGCTGAGTATGATTCGAAGGTCTGGACAATGAGTATAAAAAAATTATGCTGCGACTCAACTAGCAGAGGATTTTTCAAATTTCGAACAAAAAGGTCCAAATACAAAAAGCGTTAAAATTTTTAATTCACAACCGACGAAAACACTTGTTGAAAATTGTCTTTGTTAGACACGTATTATTCCTAAGAACTACAGAGCCCACATAGGATAATTATGATAAGTTTATTATCATAAAGTTTAATTATGATAGACTCAGTTGCAAGTTTATCCGTCTGAACCGGTTAAGGCGGTCCCCAGGGGACTCGTATTATTACTCTGCTGACGGTACTGCGTTAATTTAGGCAAAAGTTAAGGTACTGTCACATTAAAAGGACCTCCAGGTTCTTTACCTGTTGTTCTAGGTCTGGAATCGAAAGATTAACCCTTTTACGGCTAATATCCAGATAATTACAACGAGTACTTTAAGCAATTTAATACGATTAATAACATAAAAAGCAATATTTACTTTCAGGAAAAACGCTGGAATTTTCAAAATTCAGCCATTGCAAAATACTTAATCCGAACGCATAAACAATAACTTGATCAGATGTTTGAAACACAGATTCTATACTTGTCTCCCGCATTCAAATCTGTGGATCCGATTTCTTATACCAATGCGTGCGTATTTTCTACAAAAGAAATCCATTATAACGGACAGATTCTATAATTGGTATGAAAAAACATTTTGTTGCTTGAAACGGGTTTCGCGTGACTTTGATTTCGTCGCTATCTGAAACAGAATAAAAAAGGTTTTTGCCGAAGTCGTAAAATAAATGGCACAAGTTTCGCAAAATTACAGAAACGACAAACTGAGATTATACGTATTCGATGACCGCTTCTCTTGAAGCTGGCGGAGGCAGCCCCTTCAGGCATTTCTTCCAAAAGTTCCAGATTCTGTGCTAGTATCTTAGCTTCAGCACAAGAAAAACGAAGCCTAGAGTCAAATCATTCACATATTTGCATCAAGTTAATCTTAACCTTCCCTTGTCAATCTGGCGGTCGGCTGAGCATGCAACAGTTGCTTCACTATCCCTTCTGGGGACATTCACAATATATATCAAAGCCATCGCTGCCGTGACCTCTCAGTCTGAAAGAAGTATCGGCTGTCCACCACGGGTTTCATGGATTTCTGTTATCCGGACTCTGTCAAAACAGGTAATGCCAGGGATTCATGTTGGAAAGCCCATTTCTGCCGCTTGTATCTGGGATTGAAATTATTCCGTCATTGTCTACGGTTCATGGTCATAAAAGAGCAAGTACGTGAAGATCGACTTGAATACCACAAGTATAGTTTTCAGACTCAGCTCTGCTCTATTCACACTGGCTCCCTCAACTTCACACAGAACGCCACTGCTTATTCCAATACATCGGTCATCTCTTTTACCCACTCTCTATCAACAGTAAACACACCCTGAGGAACTTGAGCTTTTCAGACTGATTCTTCGTTTGTTTAAAAGGGGAAGCTCTAGGCTTTACGTTTTAGAAACGTTCATACGCATAGCAACCACGTCGTACAAGGCTGCGAACCTTTCTAAAGAACACTCTAGATCAACTTCAGTAGATTCCAACAAAAGAAGTTTCTGTACAAATAACGTTCTTTATATCTCCACAACTCTCAAATGCTGATACACTTGTCACCCTGGCTGTGTCTAACAATTTCATTCACATGCAAAACAAATGGGAGAACGGGCAGAACGTAACCTTGGCGGAGACCAATGCCAACCATGAAAAGCTTCGACTTAACGTCATTTGCTCTGACTCAGCACCTCTTATTAGTATATAGTGGTTAAATGGCCCGTATCAACTGGCGGTCGATCCTATATGCTGGCAGGTATGCCAACAGACTGTTGCGCGGGATTCGGTTTTTAAGGCTATACAGCTTGCAACCTTCCACAATTTCTCAGTAATCCAGTGTTGGGCGAATATCTTGTCAGATGTACTTCGGTCGGTAGCCACAATAGTCTTCTTTTATCTCGGAGTCGTTTATCTCGCGGCACCATTTTTCTAGCATTTTTGCGTAGACTTTACTTAAAACCATCATTCGATGTTATCTGTAAGTTTCTCTCTCGTATCTGCCTGAGGTAATGTTCATTATTTGATGCTGTGGTTGCTTATGCCACCAGGCCATCATGTAGTACTCCGTTGCTCACAGCGTAGCGTGCCAACAACATGGTGGTGATCGACATTCATGCTGCCTATGAGAAGAAAAAACAATGAAAAGTTTATAGCCGTAGTATCGCCGATTTTTCTTACACTTTCATAATACATTAACTGAATATCAAGTAATATGAACCTAAAAACTAAATAAATTCACATACAGTCAACAAATCACGATACAAACTGAATACAACTAAAGTAATCTACTCCATCGTGTGAAATGATCACCATTTATATGACAAGTCTGCTCTACGCTACCAAAGCAGTAGACGTTGACGGCCGCTGCAGCATAATTCGTTTATGATTCGCCGTCGCACAGCAGTGCCATGACTTTATTGGAAAGCTAATAGTCACTTAATGTATTCGGAGTTTTTTTGAAATTTAACGGCTAAAATTTTAACACAGAGGGTATTTGCACAAAAAAATGCGGTCTGACCATTTTATAAAAAATTGTGAACAGTAGGATTGTGCACAATCTGAAATATTTTTTCGGCGTATTTTTTGATAACTTGCAAATCAATTGCAGTCACTGTTGTTAGCCGTTGCAAAAGCGCCGCTCGTTTTTCCAAGATATATTTCTGGCGCCTTAACCCTGTAAGATGTTAGAGACAGATTTGACACCAAAGAGAATTTAGTTTGGCATTTATAACTGATAGAATTATATTTGTTGATTTTCGGTTTATGTTAATTTTCTCGTTCCAGAGAATTTCCAATAAATTTTTGTGTTTACTATTTTATGTTATATTTGAGAGCTCTACGAGTTGTTGATTTGAACGCCAAAATGCTGAAAATCCAGTTAAGAAGTGCATATCTATTCCAAGCCATTGTTCTACGTTTAGTTATTACAGTGGCTTGCATTGTTGATAGAAGGTCGGCATTCGTGAGGGAAGACACTGGCGGATGTGTGATATGAGACAGTTTCTTACTTTTATGAAGGACTCACATGGACAGGTATACCCCTAACATTTTCAAGCACAAATCCTTATTGAGTAACATGGGAGCAGATTGGCTAATCGGTTAAAAGATTTATAGATAGTTTTCGACCCTTGTTTGTCCTCTCTTGTAAAGTTTGTCAGTGTTTGCTCAGGTTTTGCTTAGGTGATATCTTGTTGAATAATCGAAAATAGTCGACCTGTTTAAACGTGAGTTTGCCACGTTCAGGCTTTCTGTTTATTCTAGCATATTTTTTTCCGGCGGACCATCAGGGCAGTTAACAGGCAGTGATCTTCTTGTTCCTAGAGCGTAAACAGGTTCGCTGATAGAGTCAGCTGCCTACCCGTTTTTCACTCTTTTATGAAATCTTCTATCACTGCTCGCAGTTTCATGTCGATTATCAGTCGTTAGACATCCAAGAATCTGAATATCTCTGCTGAATCTTCTTGTCATGAAACGCTGTATATCCGCTTGTGTTCAGTGTATACCTTGGTGATAAACGATGTACACTTGTCCGAAACGCGAGTCAGAATGAGAATTTGTTTAGATGCATCTTTTAAATGCTTATAATTTGTTGTATATGAAGACCTGTCAGGAAACTTCTTGTTACTGATAATCAATTACCCTGAATTTCTGAAGATGCTACCAACTTCACTTACTTTGGCTTTATAGCTCCTGGTGCTACAGAGTGGAAAGAAAGATTTTATACCTTTCATCCAAGTGTCCACATGAAGGATAGTAGATGAATTGTTAATTCGGATAGAAAAATCGAGTGCCAGATGTGTTAATTCCTTAGCGTATGATAAATGCATCTCGTCATCTCCGTTGTGGACAAAAGATAATTTTTGCATAAATTTGGTACCTGATGGAAGCTGCTAAATTTGATGGTGGCAGTAGTCATAAATGGAACCAAGCTCTCTCTACCTCTGCGGATTAAATACTCTTAGCGATTTTCGTTTACTCTGGGCTTCCACGTAATCGGTGCAGAGAAGATAGAAAACGATGATCGACAAGTTGAACAGGACAGCTGGTGTATGGAACCGCTGTGGGTTCGTTCGTCATCCCACAACCTTACATCATTTAAGTACATGTTGTTCACAGTATCCAGTTATATCATTGTGGCACCTTTTGTTTTCCCTGATACTTGATCGTCCAGTCAGGATCAGTATAAGATTAATGCTTTGAAATAAATTTTGCAAAGGCATAATCATAGCAGAGTATACAGTTCCTAAAACCATTAAAGGATATTCCGATTCTTAGCCCATAATTTATCAGTTATATAATTTCGTTTTGCATCGGCAAGGCTTAATGCTTGGATGCGTCTAATTACGGATATCAGTCAGCCATGATGATCTTGCTAGATTAAAAGACCATAAATGACTTTCCACTACACAGTGTAAACAACTAGCCTATCATATGATACAATAGTGTTATTAAAGGTCATATGGATCCTCTTTCCGGTTATTATTTCATTCATCCTACGTAAACGTTGCGAGTACAAAATATATTAAGGCTCATGACAACGCGTTTCATTATGATGTTGTTTGTAAAATCGGGTTGTGTCGAAAGAAAACGCGTCCTATTCGCGGGCGACTTCTGCTGTGAGATTAATTATCTGGTTTCGGCTGTTGGTTTACCGTCCCTTCTTGTCGCAGAGTCGCTGAACGGAATGTTCAGCGAGAAATAGTGGAAATCCTCTGACTGGAGTTGCAGCAGGCAAAAGCTTTGAACATGTTACAGGTCTGTGCGCTAAATTCGGAGGTAGGAAATGAGTCCTTCCTCCGAAAAGTGTAAGCTACTCTCTACGAAGTACCGACTACGGACTCTGTCATTCTAATGCGCGATTTCAGTGCGCATGTCGGAGTAGACACTGAAAAGTGGAAAGAATGACCCTAGTGACATCAACAATGTCGGTATGAAGGTGCTGCTCTTTCGTGCAATGAACTGTCCATTTGGAACATCTTTGAGCATTGAAACGCATCAGTGTATTTGGTGCTGGGAAGCTTGTGCGCAGAAGTCAGTGATCAATCTGATAATCGTATCGTCTCACTTTCGCGTAAAAGAGGCGCAGAGCTGTCAAACGATCACTACCTTGTTGTTGGCACGCAATGATGTGAAAATTTGGATAAGATGTGACGACCTGGCAGAAGCAACTGAAGAATGAAATGGAAAACATTATCTGCAAAAACGGTGGCTGAAGCTATAGCAGATTCATGGGAACAGTTCGGTGAGGTTCTCGAGTCAAATTTTCAGATGACAAACTAATTATTTTGGCAGACACCGCCATCTCAGAGATGGAATGAAAGGCACTCTAGGAGTGCTGAACGACAAGTCCAGACGTTTTGTTGCTAAGGAAGAGGATGCGCTTCGTCGATGGATAGAGTACTTCGAGGAACTCCTTAATTCTGAACAACCACAGGTTGACTCCTCTGAAAAGTAGCAGACACTAGTCTTTCAGTAGGTGAAGTTACATAAGCTGTAACAAGCCTCAAAAGTGACATGGTTACTGGAATCAGTGAAATTCGCTGTTATGAGACGCTTTATGCTTTGGTGAAAAGAGCATGCTGTGGCTAACACATGTTTGTTAGGAAACATAAACTGCAAAGGATTCCAGGAAGATACCGGCAAACTGAAGAACGTGAGGTTTTAGCACTTCTGATCAACAAGGTAGACCAGAGGGTGTTTAATTATCGGGACGTTACTTTACTGAGCCTCCCAGGGAAAGGTGCTAGAAAGGAGGTACCGCGGAATAACTGACTCCAAAATACAAGAAGAGTTGTGTGACTTCCGGCCCGGCCGAAGCACCGCTGACTAGCTGTTTGCCTTACTCTAGACTGTTAAGAAATCATACGAGTTCGCTCATCCGATTAACATGTACTTTGTTGACCTGGAGAAAGCCTATGACCAGATACCGCACAGTAAGCTAGAGGTGTGGCTGCCAACATATGAGATAAATGGCCCGTTGCGACGCCATCCAGTCACTGTCTGCTTGATCTATTCAGCAGTCGTAATTCTTTTTGCCAGTCGCACTTGAATGGAGAGAACTTGACATTGTAATATGCCCATCGTTTCGAAGTTTTAAATCTTAGCACATGTTAATAAGCCATATATTTAGCCTGCAACTTGATTCTTCTTCCTGTTCGCGTTTCGCGATGCTGGAGGTTACGTGCAACGATCGTTTGGGCAAGAAAGTGCGAGTGAAATGCAAGTATGCTTTATATTTTTGTTCTGGGTTGATGCGTTTTAGTATAGCTGTCTGTTATGCTTGTCCTATATAATTTTGTGTGGCTGTGAAACAACTACAACATTTATTGTTGTTTCGTCCAGAATAATTGTTTGCGGTAGCTGTGGATGTAGTTCAGGTTACTGTTGCATCGTTAAAACGATTCTCATTAGACAGTCCATTTGTCAAACGTTCACCTGAGAAGCTACAGGATTAAACCAAGAGAGAAAAACGACCATGCCATGAAGGTGAGTGAAACCGATGAAATTGCTATAAAAGTTTATGAATCGAATTTTAGACTTCACAGTGTATTAAGACGATTACACAGAGATGACTGTATAGATTCGGCTTTGTTACGAGAATGTCGAAGGACATTTCATGCATCAAAATTCGTTTATACAGCCGAGTTATAGTGAAGCTGACCGAGTTGCGGTCATTCAGTCTGTTTCCATTGCCGCTTATCCTTTCGCTTTCAGAGAGTGTCTCCAGCATTCCCGGTACTGTACCAGCGTTGGGGCTTCGACAGAAGAGAGTGCTCTGAGACTAGAGCAGAGTTCTTCCATACTTACACATGCCTCATTTTATTCTTTGCCGTCCCCCTGTTCTTCTGCCGGTCGGCTGGGCAAGCGGCAGATGTTTCTGGCTGACCAAATAGAACTGACCGAGTTGCGGTATACAAGGAAGTTTTTGGAGTGACTGGCAAATTGTTTAGTCAGTTTCAAAATTTCCGTTATAAAGCATTCCGGACTTATTATTGAAAACTGCATAAAACATTACACAAAGCAAACAGTTCGACTGACTGATCAAAAGTGACGTTTCCGCTCGTGTCTCATAGACCTTTTTCAAGGTTGAGCAGTTGACTGGCTTCAGAAGTGATGTCATCGTTCGTAGCAGACCCTACGTTCAGAGGAGCCAGAATAATGTCTGATGCCAGCCAGCGTCTGTACTTTGAAGGGCCCCTGTGAGACAGAAACTGAAACGTCGGTGCTGGTCAATCATTCAGTTGACCAAATTATTTGCGTTGTGTATAATTAACTCTATTTTATGCCGGTTTCAGTATGAAAATTGACGCACCAATCAGATATTCTATCTTCGAACTTACTATTCATTAATAAATTACCCTGAACAAGTTAAGTTCAGGTGTGATAGCACTGGCAGAGGAGAACTGTTCAGAATCTGGATTTCCATCCTGCTCTTATGTCGCCTTTTTGTTCCTAGTTACTGGTGGCCATTTGAGGAACTGACTACTATGTTGTGTTTGAAAATGTCCTAGGTCCGTTGTAAATCGACTGAAGCAGTACTTTGTTTAATTTCCTTGAGTAAAGAATGCGTTCATTGTTCATCCTTCACCGTCCCAAGGTTCTTTTACATCCACATGGATTCTTTGTCTGTCATACTGCAATTGCACTGAATGATAATCATGAAAGATGCGAGGATTACGATCATGATCTCTGATTTGTGGGTTAACAGCTTACAATTCGCTTTAGCCCATCTGATAATCGGAAAAAATATTAATTAGCAAAAAATGTTGGCCACATTTTTATTACTTTCCTAGGCATAGCTGCAGACGTAGTTAGACTTTACTGGTTTTAGTCCCAGCGACACGATTGGTGACCTTAAAAAGCTAGTCGCAGCGCAGACCGGCACCCGGTGGGAAAAGATTGTCCTGAAGAAGTGGTACACCGTCTACAAGAACCACATTACTTTGGAAGATTATGAAATCCACGACGGCTTTAATTTCGAGCTATACTACCAGTGAGTCTTTGTACGATGTTGCATATGCTGATTTGTTTTTTTCGAGGTTTAGTAAAATAACTATACCAGTATGTTAATTGACAGTGGCATATGGCGCTCTCGATTCAGATCTGTTGACGATAAACCTCTGAACCATGCACCCTTAATAAATTATTCAATCTGCCAAGAATTTTGAGTGGTGAGGGATGGTGAGGGGAGGTCGATGATAAATGCGAAAAAACCGTGCTTCTTTCGTCATCCAGAAAAATCGATGATGAACTTTCAAGGTGAATCGCGCAAGAAAAAATTCAAAGACTAAAGAACTAATGCTCTAGCCAAACTGTCACATGTATATAAAAAATAAAGCATATTTATCCCGTTCATTTCATTTCGCTGACCGTCAGTTAACTAATGTGGCAAAAGTTTGGATGGTCCGAAATTCTTTGCGAGATTCTAAATCTCTGTAACTCCAAATTGGCTAATTTGCGCAGCTCTGTCCCTACTGCTTAAAAATTTCCAGTCTGAAAGCTGATTAAATGCATGGTCGTATTTTAGCCCTGATTCATAACAACAACACCTCATTTTTATTAGAGATAAGCGCAACTGTAAATTGATAACGGATTGCAATGAAACGTTTCGTCACATCTAGTGCAAACAAATTCCATCCACATAATTAATACTTATATTGAATCAGTCAAATGTTTTGGCATATATTCAAAAGCCTCTGTAATAAATATTGTATTGCATTGTACATATTACATGTATTGATAATAAAATATTGTATTATCTAAATAACTGCTTTTCAACAGTGATAGTTTTAATATTCATAAACAGTTGAACGTTCGGCCGTGGATTCTGCCACTTTCAGACATGATTTGGTTAGCTAAAAGAATCGATGTTTTTTAATTAGACATTGCTTAGATATAGCCTAAACCGATAAGCTTGATTCTATTCATCTTTACTCACAAACAGAAACAAAATGTAGGTTTTTTCTAAGTGATCTATTTAGGCATCATTTCTGTGGATGATGCATATGCTATGAGTTGGTGTGTTAGCAGTAACGGTCTTTGAGACATTCCGCAGGTTAAGGAAATACGGTATCATACTGTGGAGGTAAGAAATAACAACCCATATTTTGAATATTGTACGGAGTGCTTTAATGCTCTTTCACAATTTACACTTAGAAGTAAAATAGGGTTTATACTTGAAGTTAAGTTTACGCTTTTAACTTAAAGTTAGAGGTTCGCATTATTAAAAAAAAACTTGGAATTTCATGAAGCATGTCGCATACGACTCTAAATTTGTATTCCCCGGCGGCCATAGATTGGTCTCTTCTAGCATTCGGTATACCCGTTGATGAATAGCCAGAGTAGATTCATGCGTGGCATTAACGGCTGAGGGATGGAATAGGTCAGTCATTACAAGACGCTAAAATCACTACCAGCGGACTGGCACGATTGAACTATGACTGAACCTGAAACTTGATTCATGGGCGCCATAGGCCGACCATGCGATGAATTTTAAACAGTCCGAACGAAATATTACAATAGGCAGCTGCGAATAAAGCTCATCGTAATGCGGTCTATGATGTTTTGGCGCTGACCGCTGGCTGTTAACGCTCGAACCTGCGGTTACCGCATTGAATCTGTGTAACTGGACCGTGGTCAGTTGCGTAATTCAAGCCATGATATTGTATATTCATTTGTAGCTCTCTGAGTGAATTATGATGGCGTTGTGGAACTAATGAATTTATTATCCTCATTCCTTTGTGATGACTATGCGATATCAATGAATCAGCGCACAATCGCGGTCGCTAGTTTGAATTTATGTAGTTGCGAAATGACTGTATGTATCAATAATTTGAATTGGCCCGTCATGTTGCCTGTCAATGAAAAGCTCTATGCGAGAACAATGCGATGGCGTTGTCAAACAATCATTGACGATAATTTTCACTTTATTTTACGAATCCACCATGATGACTGGTAAGGAGTCAGAATTTATGTAGTTTGCAGGTAGTCATCTGCATCAGTGACTTTATTCAGTCGTTCGCGTTATACATTGCACAGAAGGCCTTTATGAACAGAATATGAAACTTTCGACATTAGTATCAATTTCAAAGTTGATATCTTCCTATGACGATTTCGCAGTGATGCTTACGCGAGCTCGTTAAACTCGTCAACTTTGACACTGGCAGTCTTGAGTTTGAATTTACGGAATATTTTTTATCTTGTGTCTCTTTCCTTCATGATTAATTTTATCATGTTCCATATCAATAAAACGATCCATCTGAGCATAATACGTACTTTTGTCAGAACATAGAATTTCTAGGTTTTGTGTAATGATTCTTCAACTGCGCAGATGACGCCCAGTCATTTAGTTGTCAGTTGAATGTAAGTTGCTGACTGACGGATACAAGTATGATATGCATCATTTAACCATCCTTCTTTCACCAGTAGACTGTTGAACCCGTGAATATTGAAAATGTCATGTTTTTTCTATGAAACTCCGCCGTTGCCGTTCCCAAGCCCGGATGAGAAAGGAGGAGAGTTGGACCGTGGCAAGTCTCCATAAAATTTAGGCACCTGCCGCTCATGGTACTGACGCCATCGAAAATCATACCGACTCGGTCGTCGCCCGGGATACCAAGGGCCGCGCAAGCTGTTAAGGGACTGAGGCAGAATGCGAAAAGTCAGCGATCAGAACTTGCTCATTGCCCTCTGCCAGCCGGGGGCATGGCAGCACAACGACGGCTGACGAAGACC